AAGGATGACCTAAAGGAACTCTGCACTTTTCTGGAGTGCAGCCCCTACTCCAGCTTTCTGGACTCCACCCCCTACTCCAGTGATTGGAAACTACAACTCCCAGCAGTACCAAGGAGAGAACTGCAAAGACCCAAGGGCAGAGCTAAGCAGGCTAAGTTAGTTTGTTACTAAAGTTCAAAGTCAGCCCAGCTGGTAAGATATTCTAGTTACCTTGTGTATCTCTCTCTCTCTTTCTCTCTTTCCCTAGGTTGTTCCTTTTCCTTTCCCCTTTTTGTAAATAAACCCATTATTGACCCTTTTCGTGTGTGCCTGCAGTACAACTAAATTTTAAGCGTAGGGTGAGGACCCACAGACAGGCAGCCCAGTTCACACTGGGTTACCCTGTAACAATTAGAGTAAAATTAAAGGTATTCATAGAACAAATACACTATCTCCATTCTAACATTTCCTAGAATTTACCATTTTTAGTGGAGAGAAATAATAGAGTATTTTATATCTAAATGTCCTCTTTAACACCGTATTTCCTTACTGACCCTAAAAGTCCAAATGAGCATTGGCTCTTTTTTGGCATATTCAGTCAACAAATCTAGGGAACTCAGAACTGATACATTCTGAATTAAGTCTGCAAGCACAAACAAAATAAAAAAAATCATGCTATTGCTATGCTTGCTCTGATCTTGGTGCTGTTACTTCCCCTTGGTCCCAAGATGAGGTTAATTGTCTCCTCCTTTAAAAGCCCTGGAAAGGAGATCGGAAAGTTGGATCAGACAAGTACCATTGCCTTCTTCACGTGGGCCAGCAGAGCTACTGCTTTTCAATCAGCTGGTCCTTATTTGCATCCTCAAGAGGTATGTTAATTTGCAGCTGAGCACCAGGCCTACTCTCACTATAAAGAGACCACCCTACAGTATATTAAAAGGTTCACATCAATGTATGCAATTTGAATGCACATGCATACAATTAACTAGACACATTACCAGTGTGAGCTGCTAATTTGGAATGAGACTCAAAAGACTTGAATATGTGTAGGAAAAAAAAAAACTTTAAAATTAAAATGACTTCATAATGAAAACTGCTTCATGCTGTGTCTACGCTTTTCATGTAAACTTAATATAACTGTAAATATATTTTAATGAACAGTAGAAAGAGGCAATTACAAACAGCAAAGGAGGGCAGCACAACAGTGAAACATCATCACAGCAGCTCTTTGCCTGCATATTAAAAGTGCCGCCTGAAGACAGCAGCTAAATTATAACTTCATAATTTCAGGGGGAAAACTGTTTTCCTTATTAGAGACAAATACCTATTTGCCAGCTTGCTGGTATGAAAACAGAACACACAACTGCAAAAGGGAAATCCTAGCTAACAAGAAGAAGGGAGAGGAAATCAGAGCTTGACATTTGGGTGTGAAACTATCTAATTAGCTTTTTTCCTCTATTATGAAAACAACCTTGTGTTTCCATAAAGATTTCCCCACAGTGTGAATGAGTTCTTGTTATTTTGGGGCATCAAAAACAATTATAAGCATCAGAATCAAAATAAATGTGAATATTTGGAAATCTTCATTTTAGTATGTATGTGTTTGGTACAATTGAAGGATAGATTTGCAAGTGTAATTTGAATGTGATAAATGCCACCACTCAAAACATTTTATAAAAATAATGCAAGGCTTTTGACACTGATAAATTTTTGTTATTAATATTATAATTCAGGTGGGAGGATAGAAGCTAAACAGCTGGAAAATATTTCAGACTGTCTCCAGAGCTGAGCCTGTGTGGGCCTGAGAGCACTGAGGAGCAGGGAATGATTTGTGAAGTAACTGAAAAGTTCAATTCATGAAGATCCTGCTAATACATGAGCCAAACATTGGGGGCTAGAGAAGGTGGGTGGTCCTTGCCATCTTTAAATGGAGAATAAAGCTGGATTGTACATGTCAGAGCCACTAGAACATGGTTTTGAATGTATATCTCCCAGTTTGTATATTTAACAGATAATGTGTGTGTGTGTGTTTAAGGTAAAACTAGACTAAAAAAGGCTGTCATAGAATAAATACATGCAATGTTTTATTTCTAAGATTTCCTCAATTCTACCATTTTTAAGTGAAAAGCAGAAACACATGCACAGTTATGTGAGTTGAATTTCTATGTGCTATGCCCCTTTCATCAAATAACTTAAGCCTTTACACACACACACACACACACACACACACACACATACACACATACATGTTAAGAATGTATATATTTTGTCCTACTTTTAAATAAACAGATGAACACTCTGGGTTCTGTTAAGAAAAGAATTACAGCATTAATTATTGTTCATGTTGTGTGGTTATAAAGTCAATTAAAAAACATATAGTTTAAATGGAAATACAGACTATAAGATAGATTTTAAAAAAACATTTTAAATGATATGGGCATAACATCATCAAAAACTGAGTAACTCAAAATGATGTCTCTACATACAAAAGGCAGTGGATAGCCTGCTTGAGGTGAGTCAGCCAGCATCTGATCTCCAATCCCTCCCATCTTTCCACTCTGATTCAGCATCTGTACAGTTTTTAATCACAGAATAATGGAATTTTAGAGGACAGAGGAATTTTATAAATTCCCTTGCTAAAATTTAAAAAAAAAAGCCAGCTTGGGAGGAACAAGTAACTTAACCAGGGAATTCATTCAGTTAATCCCCTATTCTTGACTTGATCACAATGCTTTTTCAAGTGAAAATTTTAGCAACATAATATGTACAGCAATTATTTTACTCAAAGTTTCTACTTTTTTTTTAAGAATTTTTTTATGCATACAGAAATGGGGTACAGGACAGGAGTGCAGGGGTGGTGAGAGGATTCACCAGAGCCAGAGTGGGGAGCAGAACAGGCAGACTGACTTAGTATACTGCTGAGGGGAGCAGTGGGCGGGTCAGGAGTGGTCTGCTGTGCCATGTGGCTCACCCCTGGAGCGGGGCTCAAACTCATGCTATAGTGGCTTTAGCTTCTTAGTGCTGTGTACTTTACCCCTCTGCGCCACCAGGGAGGGCCACTATTTTATTTCTTTTTTTTTTTAAGATTTATTTTTATTTATGTATGTATATAAGAACTGGATATACAAGGCCAAAGGTGAAAAGATTCACCAGAGACAGAGTGGGGAGCAGAACAGGCAAATCTACTGAAATATACTGCTGAAGGGAGCATTAGGTGAGACAGGAGAGGTCTGCTGGGCCATGTGGTCACCTCCGGGGCAGGGATCAAACTCATGCTGAAGTGGCTTTAGCTTCTTAGTGCTTTGCTTTAATCTGCTGCACCACCAGGGAGGGCCTGCTACTTTTATCTACATTTTTCTTCAAATTTTATTTTTCCAAAATGAAAGTCTCTTGTTAAAAATATTTTACAGACTTAATTTCAAAATATTGTTAAAGATGTTAATATCTTTAAGGGGTCAAATTAATGTTTTTCTTTTGATATCCCCTTAACCTGTGAACAGTGAAGTAGATCCAGTTCTTTTTACATATTTTTTCTTGACACTTAGAACCGTGATAACATTTAAGTGACATATTATTTTATTCATTCTTTTTAACTAAGATGAAATTAAGATAGATTTTAAAGGCTTACATCCCTTCTAGCTATTTTCACTAGTTTTAATCCAAAGTAAACATTGCTAATTTCAGAAGATATATTTTCAAGGTATAAAAGTCATAAGATATGATAGTTGAGTAAGATTCAGAAAAGCTGTCTAAGAATAATAATATACTAATCTAAGAATTTTTTTTACAAAAGTTTACTAAAGAGCAAAAACTAGAATGTTGATATCAAAGGGTATTAAGTGTGATTTACTGACTTCATTTTTCTAAAAACCCAGTTTTGTGAGATGAGTTCCTATGTGAGGTACCCCTTTCATCAAATAGCTTAAGCCTATTAACAAATACTTTGATGGTACTTGGTCCATGGAGACTTCCACAAATTGCACTGTGCTTTTAATAGTTCCAAATACATATTGCAATTGTTTATTATAAAAATGACTGGAAAGCAGTTGTTTGTTGTGCATTCTGCACAACAGCCTAAATAATATTAGGTTGCACAGGGGAAGGTCTACCAGCCTGCATCATTATGCAGAGACAAGACCACAAAATATATCCCTCTCCAATGCATGGCTGACACACTAGTCATGCTGGATTATTAAGATGGTAGTTGTAGGTACAGAATATGAAACTTAAATAAGTACAGCTATTTTCAGAGTAAGCTCATTTTCATGAACACCAGAAACCTAACTGAATCAGAAGATTTCAAGTCATAATTCTGCTATGGGTTTCTGAGGGTAGAAAACATATCTGTTTATCCTAGAGTCTCCTACAGTATCTCTACAGTTCTGGAATATTATAGACATCTGATAGAAGTTTATTGACTGCTCATGACATAATACTAAAATTCAGAACATTGCTTTAAATATATTCAAATACTCCATTGGTAACATAAATAAGTTGGAGGCAGTATAATAATATGAAGATAGCTTTGGCTATAGAGCCAGACAACTTGGTATAAATCAAACCAACTGTGTTACCTGGAGCAAGTACTGAATCTTTGGGATTTAGGATCCTTTTCTGAAAAATGGGGCTGTTATTACCTGCTCTGCAGGGATGTCAGGATAAAATGATGTGCACAGATCACCAAGCACAATGTCACCAAGCACAGGCACAAAACAGTGTCCTTTGGGTTGAATCATCCGCTTTTAAAAATAAATGCCAGAGTACTCATTATTTAAATGTTCAGTCTTTATTTACAGGATATCTATACCTTGACACTGTCTATGCCAATAGACATATTTATTAAGTCAGTAACAAATACTGATCAAACCATGGCAACTATGCAATGCAAAAGAACATTGTTCTGCCATACAAATAATCTGCCTATTAGTTAATCAGCTGTAAAATGTTTCTACAGATGCACTTTGAATTTGGAAAGAAACATTTTCTATATGCTTTTCTACTATAGAACCATAATTCCTTACCAGTAACTCCCAGTAGATGAAGGCATATTGCATCCAAAAAGCAGCATGTGATGGACAGTATCCATGCTGGCACGAGGCTTGAAGTCAACTGTTAAGAGAAAATGACACATGAATATAAACACAGGTTATACCTCTATGCACAAATGTCACAAGAGAACTGTAGTTCGAATAGTTGTACAACAAAGATGTTTTGATGCTTTTAGAACACCCAAATTGGATGAATTTTCCTTTTCCTTAAGATGAGCATGATTTGACTATTTAATTTACTGGATAGTTAACTCTAATATAATTCAAATTTTTAATAATAATAAGCTGAATACTCCACACACACACACACACACACACACACTTTTTAATGGAAGAGACCATATAGAGTGGTGAGAGCATTGTGTGGATAAAAAATGAAAGCTCTAACAGTAGTAGTCACTGTAATGTGATAGAAACAAATTCTAGAAAAATGGAAAAGTGTCTTTACAAAAATGTAGAAGAGGAAAAATTACTACTCTGGATAAGCACTATATACTTGTTAAAAGCATACTGAAACCAATGCATGTCATTTCTCTTTCTACTCTTAACAGTGGTTGAAAGACATTAAGCTAAAGTCAGCTAAAAAGCTAAAATCAGACATAGAAGAGAAAGCTAAAAATTAGTTAAACTATTATCTATAGAGTATATAGATTGATTATGTGCTCCTTCCCTGGCTTGAGTTTGATTCATTCCCTTTTGTCCAAATTAACTATGCTGACCTACAGTGGGCATTTACAACTCACCCTTACCTACAAAAATGCTAATTAGCCTAAAATACTCCTAAGTCTTATGTATATAAAAGAGCATCTTTTGGGCCCTCCCTGGTGGCACAGCAGGTTAAAGCACAGCTCCATGAAGCTAGCCACAGCTGCCTCACCACTCGTTTAATCCCTCGAAGGGGGTGACCCATATGGTGTAGCAGAAGTCTCTTGTCTTGTCCACTGCACCTCTCAGCAGTGTACTTTGTGAGTCTGCGTGTTCAGCTCCCCACTCTATCTCTGGTGAATCCTCTCATGCCCCTGTGCCTCTGGCCTGTACCCCAGGTCTGTATGCATAAATAAATAAATCTTTAAAAAATTGCTTCTTTTACCTCTTTTTGTTTGCATGATAAAATTAATAAAACATTATATACTGCTAAAACATATCTCTGAAACACAAATGTTTATAGCAGATATTCTACATTAAACTATATATAGAACCACGACCTGCAGGGTATAAATGGTCAGAAACACAGGCCACCTATCACGAGCCATTCTGGCTTGATTTTCCATGGAGATAAGAAGTCGTTTCCTTCCTGCATTGAAAATATGAACTTAAAAGCTAAAATTTATACCCTGAGATTTTCATATCACCATTTATGAAACTAACAAAGAGGACAGATGGAAAATAGATTTGCTATCATTTGAGGCTTGTTTTCTATTACCACAGAATATATTAAATACAGTGAGTCTAGGAGATTGAAGAAACTACTTTGGAAAGGAAGACTCAGATGGAAATTACAACAGTTTATAATCATAGAAAATTATAATGTAAACATATTTAAATTTGTTAGCAAGAGCCAAAGAAGGAAGAACAGGGCCCCTCTCTACAGACTTACTCTCAAACTGAGTATAGGATTTCTTCCCTTCCTTCCATAATTGTCTCAGAATATCTTTCTTGGCAGAAGGAAGAATTAAAAATACTTGAAGTGGGAGCACATGACCTTTATTTCTTTTTTATTCACTCTAAATTTATCTTGCTAGGTGTTACAATTTGTTACCTTATATTCATTTCAGCAAATGGCTTATATCACTCTAATGGTATATAACTTTCTGTTCCAATGGTGTCAGTATTCCACTCTTTTTTCCCCTTTATATGTCCCTCTGTCAGTGTACAAGAGGTTTGTCAAAGAATATGGTGTCTTCTCTGCTGTTCCAGAACTTACATAGCTGACCCCCTGTTTCCCAGCCCCTATGGAAAACTATCAGTAGATTCTATTAGTAGATTTTCTCGACTGGATCATTTGGATTATTTTGGTAATAAGTCAGCATGTTCAAGTGCATTATGCTAAAAATATTAAACTGCTTGGATAACAAAATAATGTTAGTTTCAGGTATCAAATAAAATCATAGGTGGGAATATCCAGCAGAAGATTTAAATTTTGTGAGTCCTGTTCAAAAGGAGAGGTCAGGAAACTACATATTTGAAAAGTACTCAAACAGTAAGCACTGACACCTGAAGCCATGAAGGTAGACAAAAGCACCAGAGGCAACTCTGGCTCCCTTGAAGCACCATTCAGGGCTTGGGAAAGTTCTAGGGAAATCCCTGAGCAGTCAGGATCTGTGCAGGAGTCCCCAGGAGTGTCTTTTTTATCTGAATGTGGGGTGTATTGTGAAAGGAGGCAAAAATCTTTTTGAGAAAAAAGTGAGTTATTACTAAATTTATAAAATGAAATATTAATGAACAAAAGCTCACTGAGATAAGAAGGAAAACCTGCTGAAGAAGGGTGTATCATGAAGACAAGACATACCATCTCTATGGCTATACATCAAGGAGTGTCAAATATTTTGCCCGGACCTCTGCTTATGCAAGAAGATCTTCTAATTTTTTAAGTAAAAAGCAAAAATCATTCAAAGTACAACTTCTCGAGGCATTTTCTGAAATTTGTCTCATTCTCACATGCTATTTTAAGAATAATTTATTTGCCACCATTAAAGGCTTGCTAGATATGTATTTAATTTTAGTTTCGGTAGTAAGAAACACATCAATATCTTTAAGTGATAGTAGAAGAAAATTCCTGAGTTCCCTCTTATAAAAACTTGCTTTCACTGACTCTTATTTCTCCAGAAACTCAACCAAGTTTAATTGCTAAGTAAATTACTGGTGCAGGGTTTAAGCAAGAAATCTGCCATTTTTTATATCCAAAAGATCAAAGTATTCATATAACTATAGCTCCAGGTACAATTCATTGCAGTGGAAATACAAAATACCATCAGAAAAGAAATATTATATCAAAATGTACATCTAAAACAAATAATAGAAGCCATAAAACAAAGCAGAGCTTGGACAATTTTATAGGCTGTTGCCAGTGGTGGGAGGAGTCAAGTGGGAAAAGATGAGGCTGACAGGTTCATTTCCTTAGTTTGCTCCATTCCTATTTACTATTTCTTGCTTTGCATAACACGATCCCACTCTAGTGAATAAGAATGAGGTCCTCTGAGCACAAGCTACACATATGACTAGGCTGAAGATTTTCACACTATACAAGACAGAATATGGAAAAATATTTTAACATTACAACTCAACGAAGTTCCCTTTTCTCTTTTTCTCCCAACCTACATCAAATAAATAAAGGATTGAAGGGGAAGAAGGCTAGATGAAACTATTGGAAAAAAGAGCATGTAAGTGTGTGAGTCTGGCAGGCAGAATAAACAAAGGCAGCCTTGGAGTGGTGACACACAGGCAAAAACAGTGCCTCGTGAGAATGCAAGGAACATTCTATCCATTAAGATTAAAAGTGTCACCAAGTCTTCTAACTCAGGAACAGGATGACAGCTGCTTAAGTGAAAAAGGTACTTCAGTCTCAATGGGTGTTAACAGTTCAGATTGTCTGATGTATAAGATCAGAAAATTTTATAGGCAAGTAAGTGGGAACCAACTACTTTTGAAGGACTAAGACTCCAGAAATAGTGACTTATGCACATTAATTAAAGGGAATACTATGACATAGAAAGTGCAAGGACTGGAGGATTTCTCAAAGGGTAATGTCATCTGAGATAAAAGACTTTAAAGTATGTGTGTGGGTGACATATTGAACAGAGAGATAACTAGGTCTACTTTCTGGAGTTCTAAGCAAAATTTGTCCTAACTGCATGAAGCTGTTTGGGATTTATGGCCTCTATTAGCTAACATCTGACTACAATCAGAGCCATAAAATTCTCTAAGAATGTGACCTAGGAGAACTTCATTTAGTGCTTTGCTTGCTGTCCGTTCCCTTTCCAAGTGGTTATCCAGGTCTGCAAGTCAAATTTTGATGGATCTGCTAGATCGAGGACATGGAAAGAATTTGAAGAGCCCCACAGTCAGGTGGTGAAATGAACTCTTAGGAGATATCTATGTACATAAAACCAAATTTACTAATAGAAATGGGAGGAACATACTTTTTAGCTACAGATAGGCAACAGAAGACTAGTACAGCTTACTGTTAATTAACTTATAGAATAAAGAGTGAGTTTAAATATCCTGATCTCAGGCATTCTAGAACTGTTGCCTGTCTATGTCATTAGAGATAATTATTGCTAATTTTTTCCCTCTCAATGAAATCATCTTATACAAAACACATGATAAATAAATTATTTATTTTGTAAACTAGATACTTTTACATATTGTTATGTAATTTTCATAAAAGATACTTGGAAAGTAGGTTCTCTGTATTACAACTTCCTATGGAGCTTGTTAAAAATATAGGTATGGGTGAATTGGTGGTGGGAATTTCACAGGGAAACCATACATTATATAACAATGAGGGATGATATAATGAATATATTTTTAAAAATATATATATATAAACAAACAAAACTATATAGGTAAACAAGCTCAGTCCTAAATCAGACTGATTTACACCCATATATATCTCATTTAAATCTTTAGTGGTCATTCCAGGCAAGAGTATCTTTAAAAAGTGTCACAGGTGAATTACAGGGGACTTGCTACAGTCAGCATAAATAACAGCTGATTATGTGAGCATACACAAGTGTTAGTTAATTCATTAACCTGGATTCTACTGCTCTTTTAAATGAACAAAGCAAAAGGTAAAATCTAGGTTTCTTTTAAAATAAATTTATGGTGAAAAATTAGTTGATATTTTACAATCAATTAAAATTAATCACTGGAACTCTGCCATGTTAACATTTCCACTTAAACTTGTTTTAAGGCTGAGATCTGAAGTGGACATACAAATCGGGGCTCTGAGACCTCCCTGGCAGCCTGGGGGTTAAGTCTCAGCCCTATCCCCATTAGAGCTGAGTTCGATCCCTGCTCAGGGAGCTAACTCACATGGCACAGCAGACCCCTCCTGTCCTG